AAAAAAAAAAAAAAAAAAAAAAAAAAAAAAAAAAAAAAAGAATATTGTGGAATTTCACTTGTGTTTTAAATAACTAGGTACATAAATAAAGTGATACTAATGAAATGGAAACCAGAAGAACAGGAATGACTGGGAGAGTATTTTCTCTTATATCTTTCTTCTTCTGTATTTTGGACCCTGTACATCATTACCTGATCAAAAAAAATGTGCTAGCCATTTCTATTAGTCATTTCAAAGTTAACTTACCAAATTCCTGCTGCAATAAAAGTAGCGGTGGTGATAGGTATCAGCATTGGGTACTTGACGTCATACTCTCCAATTCCCCGATACCATTCCAGATAGACTATGCAGTAAAACGCAATTGATAAACTGACAAGCGACAAGGCACCACCGAAGAGAAACCAACTGTGGAGAAAAAATAATGTAAGGGTTGACAGCGCTTAGCAAATCAGCAGATATCCTTAAAGTTTTCACTAACAGCCTAAAAATATATGTCTAAGGAGAATATGAACCGGAGAAAGGGTTCACAGGGACCCACCATCACACAATCCTAGCTTTCCCAAAGTCTCATCCTAAAGGCAGATGGGGGTAAGAAAGGATGAGACATGCGACTCATGAAAGGATTGAGAAGTGAGACTAAATCCACACGTGCATACTTTCATACACCAACCAACCAAGAACGAACCCTGGTTACAGCAATTCATTTTCTTTAAAAACACAGGAAAGATAGCAGCTTTCTGGTTGTTTCTGAAGTTTTGAGTGTGGGAATAATAAAGGTGATTCTCAGCAGGCACTATTAACTCCCACAAGTTAGGAAGTCTCACGGAATACTGAAAATCAATTTGGAAGAGAGTTCACTCACATTCTCTCATAAAAGATTTCCAAATGAAACCCTCCCACTTTCAAAATATTTCCTATCCTCCCGCCAAGGTCAACATCTTTTTGTTCCCGTCCAATTCCACCTAAGACCTGACTCTGTGTGTGAGAGGCAACCTGACAGCCCCTTCTTCTAGCCCCAGCTGGTCACGGGAGGAGGCCAGATTTGGGGAACGAAGTCCCTTTCCCATTCTCCCAACTCAACCCAATACCCCCATTATCTTTTGCTCCTCTGTTGGGAGAAGACTGGCAATCCACGTCACAGAAGAGGAGAAGAGATGGCTGCAACAGTGAAGTTACACAGGCACCCGGTGGACTGCCAACAATGGCAGGGTTCCAGATTCCATTAGGGCCTTTTACAATGATACGACTTGGGGGCTCAGAATCATCAGAGGCAGTACAGTGCAGTGGTTCAGAGCGCAGCCTTTGAATCTGTCTGTCCAGGCTTGAATTTCAGCTCCAGCAGGAGCAGCTTTGTCACTGGGTAAATTAATTAACCTCAGTGTATTTCAGAAATACTTAATTTCCACACGTAACTCAAAGAATAGCCGACAGAAATAAAGTGTTTAGTGAAGTGCTCCTCACACAGCACTCAGTAGCCATCATTGTTACTCCACTGATGTTATGATAAAAATATTTCCATGTTCCTCTTCAAAGGTCTTCAAAGACCTCACTTCTGCTGGAGTGTGCATCCTCCACAGGGGCAGCATCACCTCCAAAGTGAAGGAAAAAATCTGCCTCTGATTGTATGTATAAAGCACAGAGACACATGCAGTACAAAAGCAAACATGTGGTTTATTTGTGGTATTAAAATTCCGCAGGGTAGGGATACCATTAGTGGAAAAAAGTCTAAAAAAGCCTCCTTGGGGAATGGCTATGAAAGAAAGGCTGAGGAGCCCTGTGCTCGAGTGACAGTGGTCTTGCTTCGTCAGAACCCTTCCCTCCACTCACTGCGCAGAGTCCTCTCCAGACACAGCAAAGGGGATAAAGAAAGGATAAAAGCTGCCTGAACAGAATGTGCTACAGAAGGTCGTGGTCCCCCACCCTCGCTGCATAACAGAGTCACCTTTGCACCTTTCTAAAGGATGCTACCTTGTCCCCAGTTTCCAAAATTCTGGGCCCTGAGCAACTGGGATTTTAGTTTTAGTTGTTTTTTTAACTCCATAGTTGATTCTGATGCACACACAAGGGTTTTACAAAATGATTTCCAGAGCATCATGATATTTTTTGCTTTTAATACTGACCTGTCTCTCCTACCTTCAAACATATAGTCTTCCAGCCATGTACAGACTTAAAGAACCCTAATGACTTGAGCTTCTGAATTTAGGCTAGAGAATGGAAAAAAGGAAATTACCTCAGGTATCAGAGGAATAAGCTGTTTGCAAAAAGCAGAGCTTGGCCTGCACTGCCCTTTGTGGACCTGTCTCACTCCACAGCTGCTCAGACTCCCCCCCGCCCCGCTTAATGAGTCTCTTGCAAGAATCCAATGTTACTCAAACTCCTCAGTCTTTGAGTGCACACTTAAATCTTTCTCCCTCGAAGATGATACTTTTTTGAGAACAGGCCTATGACTCCTACCTCCTTTCCATCTTCCACAGCGCTGGTCCCAGCATCTGAGTCCTGGCTCTGCCACACAACAGCTGCATGGTCCTGGGCACTCAATTTACTACCACAGTCATCCCCAAACATCTGATATGTGTGATCATTTCTTACCCTACCATTTCTTTACAGTTAAACTACCAAGAACACCTAATATAAGGACAAACAGAGAAATTCTCCCATGTCTCCTAAAACCTCAAAAAGGTCTATCTCCTGAGGTTGGGCCAAACCAGGTACCCCTCCTAGTTACTCCCAGAACATCTTGCTCATACACTTAAATAGCACTCACCAGGAGTCCTGCTACCTTGTCTGTTGTGGCCTAGAATGAGCTGTTGGAGGGCTAGAAAAGCACCTTATTCTTCACTGGCACCTAAAGCCAAACACATCTCAGGCTCGCATGAAGTGGAGCAGCTGCTATTGGCGGCATTTGAAGTTCTCATTCTTTCCTTTCCCAACCCACATCTAAACCAGTTAAGAGAGATGGAGTCAGGCTGATGAAGATCAAACACCTGCTTTATTACTGTCAGAGCTGTGGAAAGAACATGGCTTTGATGAGGAGTGACAAAGCACTTCCTAATACTGAACCCCAGAAACAGACAGACTTACCCACTGGGTTCCAGGTTGCAATGAAAACCTAGAGACCTTCGCCTACCAGGGATGCCCCCATAAGATGACAGCATGGAAAAACAGACCACAATCCGTGGTTCCAACGAGCAGCTGACTCCCAAGAGAAAGAAGGTGCTGAGCTACATATGTCCAGTTCACCTTAAACTCCATCAGGTAAGTCATGTCACCCCCCAGGGAAGGAGTGAGATGGAAAAACAGGAAGATGAGAGTTTTGGGGGAAAGTCCATACTCATGGAAATAATAAGAGGAACAAGATTTTTCCCTCCAATGGTTTAAAAGAAACTTTCCTCTTCCTACTTTCCCCTCGCTGCCTATTCCCTCCAGCTCCTTGGTCTCCCCCTCCAGAAGTCAGTGTTCTCCTGAATGCCTCTTGAGGAGAAACTGTATGTCCTCCCTTGAGTCCACAGTCCTGTCTGCATCTTTCTAGCCCCACTGGTACTTCCAGTAATCACTCTTGGCCCTAAGCAAACCAGCCCTCCAAGGCCAGCTCTGACACTCACCAACATCTCTCCCTTTTGTCCGTTATCTGGAGGCCTCCACATCACTCTCCAGTGTTCTGTGAGGACCCTGGGATATGACTCCTAAGCTTCTCCTGCACATCAGCTCTTGAGATTACATTGAGGGATCTAAGGTCCTCTAAATGAAGAACTATTTGACATCTGGCCTGGCCACAAAGCTTCTGACTCTTCCCACTGGTGACCTTTGTTTCATCTAATCCAGTCACACCTGTCGTTACCTTGTCAGCTGTAACTACTCTCTGAAACAAACCCTGAGACCCAATTCTCACCCTCCACAGTCCTCACTTCCTCTTCCCAGTGCTCCTGTACTATGTCTTCATGAAGACCTTCAGAGTCTTCCTCCCTTCATATTTTTCCAAATGCACTAGGTCCTTCTTAAATTCGCTATCTTCCTCATCCTATAAAATATTTGTGCTGAAAAAGCACACTGACATAATTTCCTGTTTTCAGTTTTCACCTACTCTGCTGTGCATGCCCAGAGTACACACTCTCTTATTCACCTTATTTTTTCCAGCTTTATTGAGGTATAATTGACAAAATTAGATTGTATACTGTATATTCAAGGTGTATAATATGATGATTTCACGTACGTACATACTGTGAAATGATCACCATCACCAAGTAAGTTAACACCTCCATCACCTCACAGTTAGCATTGTGTGTGTGCACGCATGCGTGTGTGATGAAGCCACTGAAGATCCACTCTCTTAGCAAATTTCAAGTATACAATGGAGTATTATTAATTACAGTCACCGTGCTGTAGTCACCAATATCTCTTATTCATTTTTGTATCACCAGCACCTCCAACACGGTGCCTGGCAGAGTGTAGAGGCTTACTAAGTGTTTAAAGAATTCAAATGACAAAATATAACATAAAAATAAAACAAGGGTGTTTAACTTAATGAAGCAATAAAGTTTTCTTACCTACTAGTATGAAAGTTTTCTTTAAGGGTTTTAAAGAAATCAACATAATAGGTCACAGCAATGGATGCCAAAATCCAGAATCCAGAATGGATGTTAAGTCTTGGAAGTGGTTTTTCCTTTTTTTCAACAGCTCTAGAGGTTTCTGCAAATAAGAGAGATTTCAACTTACTAAGTTACCATAATTTTATGAGGAAAAATTATGCCTATTTTAAACCAAATAAAATCACCTCCTACAGCTTTTAAAAACCAGTCGCTCCCATTTTAGCAATGAATCCTGTAAAACCATCAAGATAGATTTATATTTGGAGAAATAATTAATAGGAGCCCACTATAAAATACATTCAACATAGTCAACTGATTTCCTCTAAATGAATTTTGAAATCAAATTCACATTTTCAGTCTTTCGAAAAATAAGATGCCATCTGGAAGTGTAAGAATTTTAATATGTTTCACATTCCCTCTAGGAAAGTAATTAGACCTGTTAATTAAGAAAAATGTGTATATAAACACACACCTAAAATAAGAAAAAAAAAAAAATGCCAAAGGCAAACATTAGGACACGAAATGAACTTGTGATCTTCCAAGAATACTTTTTATAACTAAATATTTTAATTATTTTTAACAAACGCAACCTTTTGAGGCAGCTCAAAGTAGAAAGGGCACACCAGAGCTCTAGTCCCACCACAACACTGGTCTAGACAGGTGATAGACAAGTCAGTTCTTCCATCTGAGACCTGATCTAAAAGAATAGGTGGCTGGGGGCTGGGTCAGATGCTGCTTTCTAACATGTTCCCGGTGATTCTGACATGCTCTCTCTCTAAATCCACATGAAAACCACTGGTCCACATGTGAGATTCTGAGTCTTTAGCTGACCAGAAACGCTGGGGAACTTTCTACAGATTTGGGGAGATACCCTCAAAATGTATAAATCATAATGCATGGGCATGATGTTTTTATTTTGAAATAATAACAAATTGGACATAGTTTACAACATACAGGACAAAAAGATCCAAAATGAAATCTGTCTACCATCCTTAACCCTGTCCAGAAGTAACCACCGTTATTGGTTTCGATGCACCTACAGATGAACACACATTAGTTTATCTGTTTTGTACCCAAGCAGCTGCATACCACACATTGTGCTGTGCCTCGCTCTGAAAGTCACCCCCATGGGTACATAGAAGTGCCTGTTGTGCCACGTACAGACAGGTCCAAATTTATTGAACCAGCTTTCTGCTGACGGGCTCTTGGATACTCCTGGCCATTCGCTATCACAATCAATGCTGAGGTGAAACACTAATGCACACACTTCTTTGTGTATCGGTACAAGTATGTTTCTTCGGTAAATTATTAAGATTTAGAACAGTTAGGTAATTTTTAAATTTTAGTGGATCTTTCCAAACAGGTGTTAAACCGGCTCTCCGGGGAATCCTGAAGCGCAGCTGAGATGAAGATGCACAGGGAGGCCCGATCTCTAACCTTTCATGACATTAACAACCCGGAGGTGCAGAACTATTTGGTAAGCCTGGAAAAACGAAACCCGGTCCCTCCGGAACGGACCGGGGCTGCGGGAGGCCCGGGAGGCCGGCCGTGCTCGGGCGCTTCGCCTCCGGGAACCTCGGCGCGCGGCTCGGAGGGCGCCTCACCCGGCTCGGCGTCGCGCTCGCCATCCAGCGGGGCCTCGGCGTCCAGCGGGACCAGGTACCGCCGCCGGAGCCGCTCCCGAGCCTCCGAAGCGTCCATCTTGGCACCGCCCCCAACGCGGCGGAAGTGACGTCACGGCACTTCCGGCGTCGGCTCCGAGGGCCGTGTCTTCTGCCGTCGGAGGTGGAGACTAAGTCGCCTTCGCGGCTTCGGCTGGTGAGAAGCGAGTGTGGAGCTGACGTCGTGCGTTCCGCACTTAAATCCACAGGCTTGATTCGAAGTTTAGAATGCTGATCTTTCCTCGTCGGAAGTTTCCCATGTTTTTCTGACCTACGGAAGCCGAGAAGGACCAAGCTTGCGGATGCCCCGGGACGCGGGACGCTTCCCTGGGGCCTAAGCGCAGGAGATGCCTTCCGACCAGCCCTCGCCTTAGCCCCAGCTGCTTTCCTTCTCCTCCTTTTCAGGAGTTGCGCAGCTAGACTTGGAAGAGTTGAAGGCAGCCGCAGGAGGAGGAAATATTACGGAAAAGGCAACCAAGGAAACGCAGACAGTCAGAGAGATGGGGAAGTCAGATGATTTTTTATGCTAGTGGTCCCGTTCCAAATTCCTGGGCCCCAAATGCAAGGAGAGCTGGGGTTATATACCTTTCTTGAGTAAGCATGCAAGCTTTTCTGTTGGCTCTGTCTCCAGGGAGAGTTACCCAAGCTGGGGGCTTCATCAAACAGGTGAGGGGCTTCACTGGGTAAGGGGCTTGTTACAATGGCAGGAAATGTGGTTAAGGGGCTTCCTGCAAACGGAGCCTGCCAGCGTCTCACACACCCAGGCCAGGCTGGCAGGCTCTAACCACAGAGTCACTGTAGAGCTTCTCACACACACAGGCCAGGCTGGCAGGCTCTGACCACGGAGTCACTGTAGAGCTTCTCACACACACAGGCCAGGCTGGCACGCTCTAACCACAGAGTTACAGAAAACAGTCAACTGTTAACTCTTAACATACTCTTAGGCGTCCCTTACAAGCAAGCACATTTTAACTGCAAAGTTAAAATGGGGGGGGGGGGATAAGAAATTTACATTCTGGGGTCCACTTCAGAAAGGCCCACTGGACCGGGCGCCGGGGCCTGTCTCTGGCCACTCAGGGCCCTGGGCCTGCTTCCTCTTCTGCTCAGCAGGGGGTACACCTGCCTCTAGATTCACTGTGGGGTTTAACTGAGGTGCACCCTTGTGTGGTTCATGTGAGCCCCTTCTCCCCACTTGTGAAAAATTGTCCCAGCCGGGACCATAGGTACTCAATTTCGATTCCCACCCCAATACCAATAAACCATGTGTCACACACGTTCACTTTTTCTTCCTCTGTAATCCCGTGTTTCACTCTCCCACCCCTTTCCTGCTCAGTCATGTGCTGAGAAATTTTGTGCTTAACCATTCTAACGTTTACTGAGCACCTACTGTTTGCTGGGAACAGTTAGGCACCATGCCAGGCAGGAGAGATAGGGACGAGTAAGACATTGGCCTTCCCCCTGAGGGCTCCTTGTCCAAAGCTGACCATAGAGACAACTACAAGATAGTGCAGTATTTATGCATGTACAGAAGCATTTCATTTATTCAGCCAACAAACATTCTGAGCAGCTACGTGTGGTCAAATGGTGAGGACAGAGGTAAGCAAGAATCTAGTGGAGGAGATGACTCCAATGGTACAGTATTGTACACACAGTACTGTACCTGGGCTTATGGGAATACCGAATAAAGAGCAGTTTATTCTGCTGTGGTATGTGAGAAGGGAGGGTGGTTGGGGGGTCAAATACAGGGATGGGTAGCCCAGAAAGCCACATAGGAAGTAAAATTTGAATTAGTTCATAGGCATTTATTTGTAAAAAGAATGTAATAAGAAATATTCAAAAAAAGAGCGTCAGGTTTCTACTGACGTGTCATTTCTTCAGCCTTTCTGCACCCTTTGGAGCAAAGGATCTAACTGCTGAGCAAATCATATGGCCTTTCTAAACAATACCTCCTTTTTCCTGTTTGGTTTATTTTTGGGTTTTTTTGTTTTTTTTCTTTTCTTTCCAGACTCCTTAAGAACTGGGATTCATCTTTTCAAAGCCAGCTGAGGTCTTTGCCCTCCCTTCTTCTTTCTCTTGTACAAGGTTAGAAGCCTTGTTAACAGGAATTGAATTCGTCCCATCAAATACAGGCCTCTGTTGATTGTCTCCTCGAAAAAGGGTCAGTGCGGGGTCTCCCTTGTAACTGAATATTCCCAAGAGCATCAAAGTGATTCCAGCGTTTCCATGCATGGTATGTTCAGGTCAGATCAGGTTTCCCCTTTGGTGGTTTCAGGGCCTTTGTATTTGGACCTGAAATCCTTCCAGCTTTCTTTTTTCCCGATATTTTAAGTGGCACTACTTGCACACCACATTGATGATACTTAAAAGCAGACTGGAAAAAAACCAATAATTAATGACCAAATCTTCATTGCTGAGTTCCATTAAATAAGTTTGTCAGTGTTTGTACTATGGCACCTTAATTATAAATGATATCAGATCGCTACCAATGAGGAAATTTTATTTTCATTGTGGATTACTTGGGAAAAATCAATTGGATTGTGACCTTTGTTGGCCTCCCCTTAGCAACATGGTTAAGGCCAAGATGCTCATAGACTGTGGAATCTTGGCTCTGTTGCTGTGGGTCCTTGGGCAAGTGATTTCATTGTTCTGAGTATCAGTTTCCTCATCTGTGAAACAGTGGGTACCAGAGTGAAGACAGATGTATACAGATTGCTTAGCCTAGTGGTCTGGCATATGCATTCAAGCAGTGGTAGTGAGCATTCTCCTTAATTGGGCTTGCCAGGCCTTCAGGATCTGGCACCTGCTTACCTCTTGATCACTGTTACCTTGTCCATGAACAAAAGGTAGTTCGTGTCTCTCTTCCAGGAATTATCAAGCTTTATTGAAATTTTCCTTTTGCCTGTGCTCACCCCAATTGATTGGGGAGGAAATCCATGTCACCCCAGCTGATTGGGGTGGGGGGGGTGACTTCGAGCTACCCAGTGCCTTGTAAACACCGGGCACATAGCAAGAACTCCATTACTCATTTTTACCTTGGTCCTTGATCACAGCTAATGGCTTCGTTAGGGACATACATGCATCCACCCAGCATCCCTTCCTCTGAGAAGCCACTTTTCCTCCTTTCTGTAGTGGTCCTGCTCTGTTCTCAGGAGGCTGACCCTGCTCTAAGGGACAGCACATGATCCAAACCAGACCTCTTAGTCCCTGGGAATTAGGCTGAGGTCATTGGGAAGTCCCTCTCTGTTGCTTTGGTGCGGTGAGCTGTGAGGTCGAAGTGTGCATGGGCTGTCATTCTGGAAACACTTGAGGGAGCCCTCCTAGGGAGGAAGCTCTGAGCGGCAAGCTAAGAGATCTCAGTAGCATTGTCCCATCTCCTGGATCCAGCCACGCCCTGGTTAACTCAGTTAAGAACATGAACTCTGGAGCCAGCTGCCTGGCTGTCTGTATTACTGTTTCTGCCATGACTGGATTTTTTCAACCTTGGGCAAGCCTTTATCCTCTCTTTTGCCTTAGTTTCTTCACTTGCAAAATGAGGTTAAGAACAGTACGCAGGATTGGATAAAGATAAAAAGTATTAATACATGAAAAGTGCTTAGAACAGTGCCTAGCCCATAGAAAGTTGTCAATAAATCTTAGCTATCATTATTTTCCATTGCTGAGATGTCACAGGTTTTTAAAATTTTTTTTTTAAACTAATGTTACTTTGAGTTTTCTGTTACTTGCAACCTCAAGGCCAGCCCATTGCAGCTCTGTTCTCTCATCATGCCATGTAGCTGCCCCATCAGTCCCCAGCTGGATTGTGAGTGCCTCCAGGAATGAGTTCATATGTGTAAAACTCTTAGAAAAGTGACTGGCATATGGAAATTGCTCAGTGAATGTTAATATATATCACTGGGATACTGCCCTTTATTCCAAGAAGCAAATTTTTTTTTTTTAAAATCTCCCACTCACCGTATAAAAATGCAATGAAATATGTGCCTCTCTTTCTACATAGCTCTGATTATTTCCCTGATAAAAGCTATAGCATTGGAATTGCTAGGTCAAAAGATACGAGCATTTTATTCTGAGTCCAGCCCAAAAGAAAAAAAAAAAAGATACAAACATTTTGATGGATATTTTAAAATAAGCTCCAGAAAGGGTTTATTGTACTACTTAACATTCCTGCCAGCAGTGGGCAGGAGAAGACATCTTCAAATTTGCACCAACAATGGGCTCTATCATTTTGATTAATTTTTCCCAGTTGGTAGTTGAGGGGATCTGCCATTTGACTTTGCTTTTCTTTGTCAGCAGATTTTTTTCACATGTTAACCAGCTGTGTGTATATCTTTTTCCTTTTGGGATTTTTATCTTTGCTTATTTTGATAGATCAAGGATGTCTTTGAGCATCAGATATGTGGCAAGTTTCTCTTTTCCAGTTTATTGTTTACCTTTTAAGTTTGATTACGTTTGACCTACATTTTGTTTTGATTTTCACTTCTCAAAGCCTGCAATGAAGAGTTGGAATGGGCTTGCCCCATAAGGTCTAAGTGGAAAAGTCTGCTGCGGGAAAGTGCTCAGTCGATGTTCGTGTGTGTCACTCAGGTGACATACTGTGTACCCTTTCCAGATGAGCCTAGTGACTCCTTGCCCATTGGTTATGCAACTAGCAGTACTGGGAGAGGTTCTTTTACCCACAACTGAAACCAGCTCTAACCAGCCTATGCAAATTAATAACAATAATAACAACCATAATGATCACTACCATAAAATACACATGCAGTTTTTTTTTTTTAAAGAAACTTACTGGAGTTCCTCTAAACTATTTCATAAGGTTGAAAGAAAAATAGGATTTCAGGAAAGTCTGAGTGAGGGTGATACCCAGGACAGCTCCAGGAACACGAACATGGCTCAGCTTTGAGGACACCATGTGTCTGTTGCAGATGGTGTGCCTGCCATCTTCACTTTGGCCCTTACATTTCAGTGCCTGCCAGCCCTACTTTTGAGTCTCAGCACCTTCATCGCTTTGCCTGGAGGTTTCTCTGTGTGCATCCTACTTAAGCAGTGAGAGGTGG